CGCCGCGGCCGGCTCCCCGAGACGGTCGTCTTGCCTCTGGGCGGGCAGCCGCCTGCGGCCCTCGCCGAAGGGTGGGGTGACGCCCGGGGTCGGCCTCCCTCAACAGCTGGAGACCCCCTCGAGGGGAACGAGACGGTCGCGATCCCCGCACGCTTCCGTCCCCGCGGGCGCTGCCCTCTCCGCCTCGGACACTGGCGATACTGTTTCTGTGCAATGACTAATTACGAGTTTTGTTCACAGAGCACAGATGTGTCGAGTCGGCAAAAATCCGAGCCAAATACCCTGACCGTGTCCCGGTGAGTAACTGAGCCAGCTTCATCTCAGTAATTAGAGGCAAAGGTGGACAAGCTGTTTCCATCCTGCTCTCTCTTCTTTGGTCAGATGCTACTAAGTAAATTCATCTTCCCTTTTGTGTCCTTAGACGTTTTACAGAGGCTCCAGACACATCTAACTAATCCAGCATTTCCTCCTCTGCCCCAGTGCGTATTAATAAACGAGCAAGAGTGCCTGGCTTTTTAAACACTTCCCAGGCATGTTTATGGTTTATCAATGTCACGGTTTCTTCTAATGGCAATTATATCCCAAGAAATACCTTCAGTGTCTTTGGGATTCATTCCGTACCTCATCCCAAGATCATAAATTCTTTAATCCTTGACAACATTTCATCCTGTCATTTCATCCTGTCAAGAAAGGTGATTTTTCCCTTATGTATTCCATGCCTGTAACCAGTCTCACTGTGGTGAATCCCCCCATGCAAACACTGTTGTTTGTTGCACTCTAAACTGAAGCTGTAATCATAAAGATTTTAGAATCAGATGCCTACACTGCTGAATTATCTGGCAGTGTAAGTCTGGTACAGCAGACGCACACAGACAGAAATCACATGACAACACCTTTCTGGTGATTTGGGGAAGTGCTCAACTGGCATCCTTGGCAGGTCAACTGATACTCCAGAGCGTACTGCAGCCATGCTTCGTTTCTTTTCCTTGTGGCATTGTTGAGCCTGGCTGAAATATTTGGTGGCTAGCTGTGGGAAGTCAGTAATCATTGCCGGAGTAATTATAGAAATGCAGAGAGCATGGGTGTCAAATCAAAAGCAATACTGCAAAGCACTGTAAAAAAACAAATGTGTGGTCTATGACCAACTAGAACCTTGCGTTATACCACAGTTCACACTGCAACTCAATCAGAGGTTTTACTGTATGCGGATAAACGTGGCTTCTTCAACTCTACACTGAGCTAGCTAGCTGAAGCTCTACTTAGCATGAGTTTCTGACATACTGGTATGTGTTGTGTAATGGTACAGTATGCTCCACAGATGAATATAAAAGACTTCAGGGAGAAAAAAGAAAAAGTAATAATGAATACGCTAATGATCTAGATGGAAGCCTGAGAGCCACTTTGCACAACAGGTGAAATGGCAGATTAGATACTAGACTGGTGGTTCTCCTCCCCCTTCACCTAAACATTTTTTTTTAGCTTCAGTGTTACTGGAATTTATTTATAATATTTCTTCCTTTTTTTTTTTTTCTTTTCTTTTGCTATATGCCATATCAAGGCAATTGGTTCTGTCATCTGTTACAAGCAACTTGAGACACTGTTTAAAGAAGACAGTTAAATTGGAAGGTTGGAGGTGGTGTGTATATTAAACCTGTATTTCTTCCTATCATGGGATTTTATTTAGTCATATGACAATTTAAAAGAGGATAGGACATGCTCATTGCAGACTAGAATTCTGTGTAACTCAAGATTTCAAACAATGATGTCACACTTGCATGTCTTGTGAAGAGCAGCTAAGGACTCGGAGTTTGTCTGTTTTGGAGAAAAGGAGGCTGAGGGGCAACCTCATGGCACTCTACAGCTTCCCGAGGAAGGGATGTGGAGAGGGAGGTGCTGATCTCTTGTGTCTGGTATCCAGTGACAGGACACCTGGGAATGGTTCAAAGCTGCATCAGGGGAGGTTCAGACTTGACAGTAGGAAGCATTTCTTTACCAAGATGGTGGTCAAACCCTGGAACAGGCTTCCTAGAGGTGGTCAGTGCCTCAGGCCTGTCAGTATTTGAGGCATTTGGACAATGCCCTTAACATGCTTTTAATTTTTGGTCAGCCCTGAACTGGTCCCTTCCAACTGAATAGTTCTGTTCTATTCTACTTTCTTTTCCCAATGTGAGAGTGACAAAACCAAAATAAGCATTTGTACAAAGGCAGTGCATTTCCTCAGATCACCTGCCATTGTTTCAGGTACCAGTGCTGCAGGCTAGTTGAATTTTTCACTCCACAATAGCTGAAAGGGGCAAGGAAGGAATATAGTTAGATGCCTCAGTTTGTTACTATGAACCAGAGTGAGAAGACAGAACTCCTGGACTCCTTCCTTCAATCACCGGTTAGTTTAAGGGAACTAGCACAGACAAGCCACTCCTAAACCTTAAGTTTTCAAGCAGCCTGTGCCTTGAATGTCTCAGTAGACACCAGTTCTTTTCTTGCCCTGTCCCCCAAGCTTTTGTTGCAGAATACCCTATTTCTTGATAGTGCACATGTAGAACTTCAGAACATTTTGAAAATTAGCCATATTTAAACACATTAGGACATTAATGTTCTGGTATGAATAAATCACAGAGTCACAGAACAGCTGAGGTGGGAAGGGACCTCCGGGGGCCACCTGGTCCATGCCCCCCACTCAAGCAGGGCCAACTGCCCAGGGCCACATCTGCTGAATAACTCCGAGGGGGGGAGACCCCACAGCCTCTTTGGGCAACCTCTGCCAGTGCTCTGGCACCCGCACACTAAGGCGGCGTTCCCTGATGTTCAGAGGGAACCCCCTGTGTTTGTGCCCGTCGCCTCTGGTCCTGCCACAGGGCAACCCTGAAAACAGCCTGGCTCCATTTTCTCTGCACCCTCCCTTCAGATATTTACACACATTGATAAGATCCCCCCCGGGCCTTCTCTCCTCCAGGCTGAACAGTCCCAGCATTCCCAGCCCTTCCTCACACGAGAGATGCTCCAGTCCCTCAGACACCTTCGAGGCCTTGGCTGGGCTCTCTCCAGTATGTCTGTGTCTCTCCTGTTCTGGAGGAGCCCAGCCCTGGAAACAGCACCCCAGGTGTGGCCTCACCAGTGCCAGTACAGGGGAAAGATTACCTCCCTGGACCCGCTGGCCACACTTTGCCAAATGCAGCCCAGGATGCCATCAGCTGCCTTTGCTGCCAGGGCACACTGCTGGCTCATGGTCAGCTTTGGGTCCACACTGCAATAATTTCCTATCATCGGTGTACGAAAAATTTAAAGATCTGTATACTTTCCTGTCATAGGTTTCTTTTAGGCACATTGCATCTTTTTACCCCATGACTGTCAACCTTGGGCAAATTTTGAGTCATTGTGTATATGAATGTAGGTTTCAGTGCAGTTGTAAAATCAGGTTTTGCAATGCTGAGCCACTTCTACACCTCTCGTTTGTTGTGGTCAATAAACCTTTTTGTTCCTCCCCCCCGTTTACTGTTGTAAGCCTGTACCAGCAAGCGATTTACTAACACCGTCGGTTCATACCAATCCCAAAAAGCCTGACCATCACACCTGCACTTTACAGGTCATAGTGGAGAAGGTCTCAGGATCTCAGATAGTTGATATTGACAAGAGAAAGTACTTGGTTCCATCTGACATCACTGTGGCCCAGTTCATGTGGATCATCAGGAAGAGGATTCAGCTGCCATCTGAGAAAGCAATATTCCTCTTTGTAGACAAGACTGTCCCCCAATCCAGGTGAGAGGCTATTCACTTGGTATTCAGAACTATTTCAGCAAGCTGGTGCGTGTCAGAGGAACAGTAACTCCCCTCTTTGAGGCTTATTTGGTGATTTTAGGAGGTGTTTGGGACATCTTAATCTCACTGTGATAGGGTTTTTTTCTCTCATGAGTTTGATAAACATCTTATTTCTTGAGCTAGGCTGAAAGGAGAGGTGTCTGGAAAATATGATTTACTCCAAAGGCAAGAGGATGAGCTCTGGAGTTATGGTATCTTTGGTTGAGTGCAAGAACATTTACATCATCAATGCCAAAAAAAATATTAATTCTCAGTGTAACAAAAAAATTACATGTTAAATACTCAAAAGCAAACACCATAAATTATTCTGAAAAAACTAACCTGTCAGCTCATAAAGAAATTGTCACATTACAGACTGGCTGCTCTTTCTTGTTTTAAAAATTACTTATTCTATAAACACAAAATGCAAAATGACTATAGAGAGGTTTTTCACATTGCTTTTGTCGAGGAATAAGTTTCATTGTTGTCTGCTACATACAGAATAATGTATAGCAGAAGCAGCTACTACAACTGCTTTCTATATGAGATACTTTAATAGTAGTATTTGAGAAAACAGTACATCATGATGTTATGTGGCTTAGATATAGTATTATTAATCCTTACCTGTGTAACAGTAACAGTCCCGCCAGGTAACCTGTCCAGACTCAGTTAGGAGTATTTTTATTTACTTTGTGATGCACAGTAGGGACCTGTGAGAACCGTCTTTTTCTGCTTGCCTTCGTCTAAGAGTACTAGGAATCCCTGCATGTCATCTTCTCAACAGTGCTGTAGAACTGCTAGGAACATTAAAGAAAAAGGAAGGGCACATTGTCTTATCTCTGGTGGAAAAACAAGGTCTTGAACCTTCAATATAAATGCAAAAATGGTAACTTGTTAACTGATAAACAAAAAAACCTAACCTGTTGATGGCTCTACTCATCTCATAGTCTGAGTTTATTACATAGACCACTAACTCTTGACATCCTTCTCTCCTAATCCAGAAATTTATCTACTACTCACCAATTCCCTTCCATTTCAAGTACTGCCTGCAACTCTTCCCAGCTCCTCTCTTGGGTAAAAAGCCACAATCGTTTCCCTGTCATGCACATTCAGTCTGCATCTTTCAGTTCACTAGCCTTTTCTCAGTCTTGGGAAGTCAGAGAAAGGTGAGCTGAGGAGGTGTCATTTGTGCAACTGATGTCAGCTGCCTGTTTCATCTGTAGCTAGAGGGTTGGAGCAGTTATAATGGCAAAGTAATTACTTGGGTTTGTTTTCAAAATACAAACATTGCCCTAAAGATTGCAGCTGCTTAGACTGTGAAGGGCCACATGCATATGCAGTTTAAGAAAATTTTCATTGATCAAATGTTCACCTTATTCACTGAAGCAGCACCAGTTTCTGGCTCACTTTTAATTTATCACCCACACATTTTGGTACTAGGACTAATTTTCAGTCATTGCTTTTTAACAATACAGAAAACAAAGCTTTTACTCCCCAGACCAACCTGGACCTCAAAGAAACAGTCTAAAAAGCACAAGTTTGATAGACTTGAGACCAGCTGAACATTCATGACTACACCAGGTGGAGGGAGAAATGAGGTTGCTCACACAAACAGCCAGACAGTAATGCAGCTGCATTCAAGGAAGGTGCTATCAGGGTATTGAACCTGGTATTAGTCACAGCATCAATAATAGATGGTTCAGAATCTGAAATACATTCAGTGACTCATTTCCAATAAAATAAGGAAGCATTCTGACAAAGGCATTTGTGAAGAAGTAACAAAAAACTGCAGAGAGCCCAGGATCATTTTGGTAACTCAGGAGTCAACTGCTTTTCATATGCCCTCATTTTTGTATTTTAATGTAATCACAGACTTACAAGTTTTAGGTTTTCTGAATCCTTGTTTGTGTGAGGTTTTAACTCTTATCATTTTCAACTGTCATGATCCAAGCAAACACTTTCTCTTTTTTTCCCCTTCAAGCTTAACTATGGGACAACTTTATGAGAAGGAAAAGGATGAGGATGGATTCTTGTATGTTGCCTACAGTGGAGAGAACACATTTGGTTTCTGAATGGTGGGTCTTGACTACTACACCATCCTGCTGTGTATCTTGTAAATAGCTGATCATTTTCTGTTATGGCATCCACAGAAGTTCCTTCTATATACATGCATTTGTAACTGGATTTATTTCTTAATATATTGATAGGTCTTGTTTTATTAGACTGTTAAATTATATAAAAAAAGTTTTGTTGTTTTTGTGCATTTTTTTTCTCATGGCTATGAATTCCCAGAGCCTCAGTCCTTTGGGGGATACATTTGATAACATCGATTAAATAATAAAGCGAAGTAGTTGGGCTACTAAAAGACGAAAAGAATATGCATTTATTCTGTTTTGAGGTATTAGTTTAAGAAAAATAAAACCATTACATTAGAATTGGGAACACTGGATTTGCTAGCTTATCCTAAGCAGGAGCAAGATTCTGATTGTGTTGAATTGAGCTAATAATGTTCCTCTTTCTCAATTAACAAAGTACAATAAAAATTCCTGTCACAAACAAGTGGTGCTGTCATTTCTTTACCTTAATTTTGGCCAGAAAGTTATACATCACATTTACTAGACACTATACAGCTGCTTATTATTTACCAGACACTGTACAGCTTCTCAACCTGTAGTATGTGGATGATGATACAGGGAAGAAACAAGCTGCTGTGTGGGGGTTCCAAAACCAACAGCTTCAGAGCTACCAGATCTCATCAGAAGAGCTGTGCCCACCCATCACTGGAGAAGTAAAGACCGTGGGTTTGGAAAGCTGGACCTAGGTGACAAAAGCACAGCATGTAAGGAAAGGGCAGCTAGGAGAAGGAATGGGAGACCAGAGAGCAGGAGAACTGAAAGGTATAATTTGTATGAGTTGTTGCAGAGAGATTACAACAGTTGCATAAGCAGCTCTTAAAAAAAGCCAACAAAACAGTAGTTGTATTACAGATAGTTATATAAATATATGTGTCCTTTCCAAGTAAAAATACTGTAGCTACTGTAAGGACATTACAGAACCATGTACATGAAAGAACAGCTTTACCATACAGCTGAGTGGTGTGGCTGACGTGCCCGAGGGACAGGATGCCATTCAGAGGGACCTAAACAGGCTCAGGAAGTGAGCCCATGATGTTCAACAAGGCCAAGTGCAAGGCCAAGTCCTGTACCTGGGTCAGGGCAACCCTGCTGTCAGTGCAGGCTGAGGGATGAAAGGATTGAGACCAGCCCTGCAGAGGAGGACTTGGGAGTACTGGTGGATGGAAAACTGTCAGCCAGCAACATGCACTTGCAGCTCAGAAAGCCAACCGTGTGCTGGGCTGCATCCAGAGAAGTGTGGCCAACAGGGCAAGTGAGGGGG